TCGTGGGGAAAAATGCTTCTCCTATCAATTCTCCTTCACAGCTCACGGGGTGCTAATCCCCCCACCACTCAGTAGCAGAGTGCAGGCTGCAGTTTGTTTTCACCTGGCAAGGCATCCAATACTCCTGGAACTGACTGCTCCCGGGGTGGAAATACAGCTCTACCATCTGCTATGGACTGATCCAGACCAAACTGAAGAAGGGTGGAGCCCCTCTTGCTGAGCGGGAGAAGTGGCCAATACTTAAATACTGATTGCGGGAAGGTGTATGATGCAGAAAGATTGTTGGTATCTAGGGAACCTAGACATCTGACTTAAATGGTAAAAATAACATTAATATCAATGGTTATCAATATTTTACAGTAGGGGGACAGAACAGAATACACCACTGCTTAGAGTACTCTTCAATTACCCAAGTACTCTTTAATTACCCAAGTATCCATATTCTAACAACTAAAGCCCACTAAATTGTTCTAACAAAGCCAGCTAAAAGAAACTTGGCATAGCTGAGGCACCTTGCTCACTAGAAAGCAGAATATTGCTCAAGTCACTTGAGCTCCTCCTTTTTGCTCCTGTACATGGCTGCACTAAAACAAGTATTTTTAAGCAGTGCTGGAAGCTACTTCCAAGAATGAAACAGGGGCCTCTCATTTACAGAGCATTGCCTTAGTTTACAGTAGATATTTCTGAAATTCTTGTTAATATTCAGAAGGTGGTTATTTGTCTACTAATTGAATTAGTCTCCAGTTTCGCTCTTTAAGCTCTATTCTCTGAATAAAAATGATTAAGAGAAACAGATCAAGCATGTTCCACTATAGCTACCACAAAGAAATGCTAAAGGCAGAGTCAATTGCATGCATTAATCTTTAATTAACGGCATCAGAAGAACTATAATCTAGTAGCTAGAGTACTGGAGCAACTACAAAAAGCCTTCATTCTAATCCCAGATCAGCCACCGATTTGCTATGCACCTCCCGTGAAAGGGAGCACAGAAACACCCCACTAAGCTCTCATTTGCTTTTTACCTTTTGCCTGCCTTGCCATCTCTTTTTGCAGCAGCTGTAGCAGAGGTGCTCTCTACATGCACAAAACCTCGCACTGGCTCTGCAGCACTGGCCAAGCAGCTCAGATGCTAATTGCAATTAACAGCAACATTCACATCATCCAACCTATCTCAAGTCAGTTTAAAACTCTGGTGTTTTTATAACACTCCCAGAAACCTTACAGATAAATCAAAAAGAGGGAGCCTGTACAAGGGACAATAAAAGCACGCAAATTACTTCCAACAAAAACATTACCGCCCATCTTCAAGCAATCTCCCTCACTCCCACGACTGCTATGCAATCCCCAGGCTAGTCAATCCCCAGGCTAATGACGTATCAACCTGTTTTCTTGATGGCTTTTTTCCAGACATCCAACTTTACATTTTGCCTAGCCTCTCCAAAATGGATATTCCCCAGTAAACGACAGCATGATGCAGCCAAAACAAAGCTTGTGCTTCTCTTTCCATTAAACCTTGTCACTTCCCTTTCAAGCAGCTTTGGATTAACGCTAATTCTTGTCTTTCCTGCCTTCTCAAGATCGAAGCTGTGCCAAGACCTGCTGCTTTCCCTCTGTGACTGCAGCGTATCTGATGTTCCAAAGTTCTCTTCCTCATCTTTAACTTTCTCAGAGCCCACCACGCTAATATGCCCACCTCACATAAAATACTATGACACCCGTTAGGCTCATGTTCTTGCATTATGGAACACATTCCTTTCTTTCTCCAGACTAGTTCCTTACTCAGCATTTTCAAACCAATTTTGCATAACACACGCTATTCAACTGCCTTAGCTTTTATCTCCCCTTTGTCAACATGCAAGTTTGTTCTCTACTTGTTCTACACCCACAAATTTCTAAATACACAGAACCACTAATACACGTGGCTGGAATAACATGATCTTTACAGCCTATTCCCAGCTGGTTCTGCTTCCTCCTAGTAACCTCTTAACAAAATGACCTTTCTTTCCACCACTGAAGGCAGGAAGGCACAGCTTTGTGCTGCAGAAAGGTCGAGGTTAAAGCAGAGTAGTTCCCTAGCTCTCTAGGAGTGTCTTATCACTGTCTGCATACCAGGAGAACAAAAACCTCTACTCCTCATGCAACCAGCTTGCCCCGGGCTTGTCTCTGCGTTCAGATATTTGTCTCTACTTCCCTATGCTAGATAAAACACTCCCCAGAGGCAAAACTCCTTAGTAAGCACTCAGCCCTTTGATCTCAGAAGCAGCTGGTGCACAGCTGCTCCCCATTACTTTTGCAGCTCTCAGGAACCTTTTGCATTTGTCTGTCTCACAAGCAGGCACAAAGGGCAAGAACACCACCAGCAACCATCTTTCATTCTAAGGCAAAAACTTTTATCTCCATCCCACATGCCCTGCCCAATTCTGCCTTGAATTACTGCCCACCTCCACCCAGTCCCAGATCTTCCCTCCTAACCTGTTTCCCAAGCATGTGAGCGATGCCTTCCTGTTTCTTTTCTCATGAAGTCTCCCTTACACTTGGGAGTCTTCTGGGGAGACACGGTCCTTACACACAGTAGGGAACAGGCTGCTGTTCCTCATCCCAGGGAAATCTTCCCTCAGGTCACAGTCCTTTGCAGGTGGCAATAAGAAGTCAATTCCACTGCAGTGTTTCTCTTCTGTGCAACTTCAAAGCCCAGGGGCACAGGTAAGCCTGCCTCCTAAGAGCAGGGCACACCATCAGACCTTGCTAGGAAAGCACGGCTCTGGGTAATGCAGTATTACCTCTCAGAGCCTACGAGCAGACCACCACAGTGACTATGAAACAGCACATTAATAGCACGCTACTAACAGCACAAGGCTTTCAATGGTACTTTGTACAGGTTTATAGAAAACAGAGAAAAGCTAGAAATCACACCGTATCTCAAGTTGCAGGATTCAGAGACAGTACTTCAATCCCTTCCTTAGCTGAAAAAGCTATTTCAAACAACTACCAGAAGATAACTAGGGATTGTAGGAAGGAGCACAGCCAAATAACTCTGCCTACAACACAGCTTTGAGAAATATTGACAGTCCCTTACCTCTATAGATAGATCTGTTGACTGATATCATTTTCCTGAGATTTTCCTAAGATTCACCTTAATAGTTACATGCCAAGAACTGAGAGCTGAAATGTCTGCTTGCCAGCTTGTCTTCCAGAATTATCTCAGCAAAACTATTGCCTTGGACCCACCAGCACTTCTGCAGCAACTACTTCATCAATCCCAAGGTGCTCTGCAACCAGGTGCCAATTAGAAAAATCAGTTCACCTGGTGCTACTGCTGCCCTTTCAGAGCTGAGGCCAAAAGCTGCAGTACGTACTACACTTGGTTGTGTGTGTGTATACACAGTGTCAGGGAAGTTTTACTAGAATCTGACAGAAAGGTGAACACATTCATTGGAGCAGCTACAAACTTGATCCAATTTTTCATAAAGATTTTTAACTTTGTAAGATTTTTAACTTTTCTGCTGCAGGTGTAGCTTTCAGGAAAGGCCCAAGCTTTTAAGAGACCTTCTAATCAAGAGAAAAAAGAAAGTTGACACATGGTATAATCCCTCAACAGACAATTTCAAAAGATTTTAGCCAACAGCTGAAGCCATTTGCACTGATGCAGAGTAAGGAAACACATTTGAACCAGCCACAAGTCAAGTGTCAAGAACTTTCCCAGACTCTTGTCCATTTAGTTTGTGATTGATTGTGTGAGTCTATGTCTGTACATGTGACAAGGCAATGCTTCTGCTCCTGGTAACCTACCAGAAACATCTCATGGCAGGATAATTTTGAAAAACAACACAGAGATTTAGAAAACCATTTGCTGATTCATCAGTGGTGGTTTTGAAGTAAAAAAACTTGAGCAAAAGTGATTATGTTTAGTTGACATGTATGACAAATACCATCCAGTAAATCATCCAGGATGATTCTCCTCATTGAACAGAAAAAAAAACAGCTAAAAGAAAGCAACTTCGACTGCTTCCAAGGATCTTTGTTTTTCTGTGACACTCACCCTGACAGGAAATCTTGATGTTTCCACTACAGCTATGCCCTAAGTTCCACTGCCAATCTTTTGCTCCAACAAGTGAACAATTTCCATTTTAGCAGTGCACTGGTACTTCACTGACACGTACCCACTACATAAACCAAAAAACAAATAACCCCCATCCCACCATCCAACTTTTCACAGATTTTAATGGGACTTAACCTGGATTCCTTACAGCTGCTGAGGCTCTCAGCATTACTGCTTCTTGTTAACAAAACCTGTTTCACTTCAGCTGTGTTGTTCGAGAGTCTGTCCATAAGAGCATTCTTCCCATAAATGTGTCTGCAATAATGTGATAGTGAAATCTTAGCTCCATGAGTTGTCCTGCAAGCAAGAACCACAAGCTCTGTTTAAAAGTAGAGATTTTGGGGGGGGTGTGTAGGCATGTCTAAGTCAAGAGAGCAAGCAGGAGCTTTTTGTATCACTGCTAAAAATCAACTTTTGTCTGATAACCACGATCTGTAAAATCCAAAATGCAGGTCAGTAAGCCTTTATTTCTTCCATGTTTCATGAGTGCTCCTCCCACTCCTTCTCCTCATCTTTTTTCTGCTCCCTGCTACCAAACTACAGAGAACACATGACCCTTTTTTATTTGCCAGCATATAGGCTGAAATGTCTTAAACATGAATTTAAAGGTTTTACAAATCTTTATTGAAAAGAAAGAAAATAATAAATCCCGAAATGAACATTCCTCCCAAATATTTTAGTCAGCAATCTCTAACTTTCAAATTCCAAAATACTCCTGGATAAAAGGAAACCACTTACACTGAGCTCCTGAGAACACCCTCAGAACCATACCTTTTTCTTAAAGCTACAATTGTGAAGTCTTTCAGAAGGCACTGTATGACAGTGAAGAAACTTCATTCCTTCTACTGCAGGTCATCTTTTAAGGGCTATAAATAAAGGAAAAACATATACGCCCTCTTAGTAATTGTTACCTAATCACTTTGATAAAAAAATATCTTATTAGGTTTCTATCCAGTAACATGGGATTACTAGAAAACTTCTTCTGTAGACATAACTTCATGGAGGACAGTCATCATTAGTTCCTACAGCCATCTGAAGCCAGTAGTCCAGATTTCTAAAAATGACAAAGTTGTACAAGTTCTCTCCTCCCTTGTGGAAACCATGTTCACTTTCTCTCCAGGAAACGGGGCTGTCTGCAAAGCCATGCACAGTTAGCGTCAGCCAGTATGCCAGTTTTGGTTCACCAAAATAGCAACTGCAAGAAAGACAAGGTAATCTAGAATTATAAACCAATAGACAGCATGTTCAAGTATACAATATAAAGTAAAAAAATGTAAATCAAAGACATAAACACTTTAGTAAACATTTACTGTTATTAACACTTAAAAAACCCTGCTTTAGTATATAGACAAACTCAACCACAAAAAGGAAGCCTACACGGGGTGGAAGCAAGGACAGGTAACCTGGGAGGAATACAGAGAAATTGTCCAAGCAGACAGGGATCAGATTACAAAAGGCAAAGCTCTGATAGAATTACTCTGGCCAAGGATGTCAAAGGCAACAAAAACAAGGCTTCTACAGGTATGCTGGTGATAAAATGAAGACTAGGGATAATGTGGGCGCTCTCCAGAAAGAAACAGGAGACCTGGTTACCCAGGATATGGAAAAGGCTGAGGTACTCAGTAACTTTTTTTGCCTCAGTCTCCACCAGCAAGTGCTCCAGCCACACCAACCAAGTCATAGAAGGCAAAGGCGGGGACAGGGAGATTGAAGGATCACTCATTGAAGTTCAAGGCCACCTGAGGAACCTGAAGGCGCACAGCTTCATGGGAGCTGATGAGATGCAGCCACAGGTCCTGAGGGAACTGGTGAATGAAGTTGCTAAGCCACTATCCATCGTATCTGAGAAATCACGGCAGTTCAGTGAAATTCTTGCTGACTGGACAAGGGGAAACTTAATTCTCCTTTTCAAAAATGGGGAAAAATGAAAACCCTGGGAAATAGAGGTCAGTTAGTTTCAACCTCTATGCCCAGCAAGATCACGGAGTGCATCCTCTTGGAAACTGTGCGAGGGCACATGAAAAATAAGGAGGCAATTGGTGACACCCACCATGGCTTCCACTAAAGTCAAATCATGTTGGCGGCCGCCTATGATGGGCTTACATCACTGGTGGATAAGGGAAGTGCAACTGACATCATCTACCTGGACTTGTGCAAAGTATTTGACACTGTCCCACATGACAACCCTGTCTCTAAGTTGGAGAGACGTGGATTTGACTGAGGGACTGCCTGGCAGATAGGGAATTGGCTAGATGGTCACAAAGAGTTGTAGCGAATGGTTTGATGTTCGAGAGGAGACCAGTGCTAAGGGGCATTCCTCAAGGGCAGTATTACAACTGGTGCTGTTTAACATCTGTATTGTAATACCAAAGTAACCCTGGTACTCTTTTTGGTATTATAAAGGAATTTCAATCATATTTTGTATCAGTAGTTAAAAATAGTAAATCAGGCACATTTGAGGGCATCTGATTTCATAGATGGGGAATCTGAAAAATGTAGAAGCTCAGTAGAACCTCTGTTTCTTAGAAATTAAGATAAAAAGTACAGTCATTACTAGAATACAGGGCAGGCATTTCCAAATTTGAAATATCTAGAATTGTTTGGGGTTTGTTTTTTTTTTTGTTTAAACTGATGTTAAGCCTCCAGCTCATTTTCCAATTAAAAAAATTCTTCACTTGGTATACTTTGCTATTCACCTTCGATGGCATTACTGAAAAGAAGTATTTAAAAGTTATTTTGAAAATTAAAAGGTGTTTTAGTAATGTGCTCCTGTCAGCCCTTACCACAGCTGCTCCAACAACTGAATTATCTTCTCAGGAATTATAAAGCCTGTGATTGTGCACAAAAAAGCTTTTTCCACGATCACATTGGGCTGAGGACAGCAATAGGTTGATAAGAAGCTAGACGACTTGTTGTCTCTGGAAAAAAAAAACAAAACAACTGAAATAAATACATTTCAAATCATCTACAGGAAGTTGTAGTAATCAAAAATTGTACCAAACAAGTAGTATCTGTGCATATCACCTAAAGAATACTGAAGAAACTGATGGCCAAGCAATTAATACACAAGATGTAACGGTCCTGTGGGTTAACCCTGGGAAGCACCTAAACAGCGCCCAGGTGCTCATTCACTCCCACTTAGTGCAATGGGGGTAAAAGTTAGAAAACATGTAGGTTGAAATAAAGACACTTGAACAGGTAAAGCAAATTGCATGTGAAAGCAAAGCAAGCCAAGGAATTCATTCACTACTTCCCATCGGCAGGCAGATGTTTAGCCATCTCCAGAAACGCAGGGCTTCATCACGTCTGTGACCGATGAAGAGCAGCAGCGTAACTCCGAGTGTTTCCTGCCCCTCCTTCCCCCAGCTTTTCTTGCCGAGCATGCCAGCACGTGGTGCAGGATCTGACCCCTCCAGTGAGCCTGCTGTGGTGGCTGCATCCCCATCCAGCCTCTTACCCACCCCTCCAGTCCACCTGCTGGCAGGGCAGGCTGAGAAGCAGAAGAGGCCTCAACACTACACAAGCGTTGCTCAGCAATAGCTAAAACATCCCTCTTAACACTGCTTTGGTCACAAACCCAAAACGCAGCATCACACCAGCTACATCGAAGAAAATTAATTCTGTCTCTGTCAAAACCAGTACACGTGGGTACCCCTAAACCACAAAAAAGTTATTTGAGACTTACAACAAACGTTTAAGTGCAGCACACGCTTCCCATTTCGAGAAATACATCTGTTTTAATTCTTCCTTGAAATAAATTGGGCTTTCCTTACTTAAAATGCACATAAAGATCAAACAAATGCAAATACTTACAAGCTAACTTGGTTCAAGACAGCACCCAGCCATTCAAAGAGCTCCTCTGTGCTGCAGGACTCCTCCGGCTTGCCTTGCAGCTCGTTACTTTCTAACACTGGACACTGCAAGTCCCTTAATGTGCTGAATGTTATTTTTGGCTTCAGGGCTTGTATTTGGTTTTTTGAAAAGTATGACATCAGTGTTGATCCTTCTGCACCTTAACAACACAACACCACAAACCGCAGTTACAAAACTACTAAACAAAAGGAGCACTGAACACACGAAACCTTTGTACACGTACAGAAGAAAAGGCAGTGTGTAAAAACGCTTATGTGCCGTTACGTCTGGCAAAAGCCAAAGAATCTTCAGCTTCCGTATCTTCTTGCAGATCTCAGGAAAACTTTGCGTAAAGCTGCAGTACATTTACATTCTCCTGGAGCGTGCCTTCGCAGCTGCAGAAAGTTTCCCGTATCATTGTTCTAAAGGGTATTTAGTCCTCAGCAGGTCAGGTTGGCGGATCTTTTAGTTCTCTCAGCTGAGGACTAGAATGCATAATAATCCTTCTAAGTGGTCTTATCACTAAAGACCAAATACTTGATTTCCTATGTGTGATGGCCAACTTAATTTAGGAAACATAAGATTTTGGAGAAAAATTCTTGATTTACAGCAAACTGAGAAATTACCTTCATGATAACGTGTATTTAGAAGGTCATCCAGTCAGGACTAGAGACTCTCCTAGCCATGTGGCTAAGGTGCCTGCCATCCCAGAACACTGTTTTTGTCCCTCAACAGCAGCAAAGTGGGCAGGTAACTACAGGCTTGAGAACAGATTTATGAATGATGTCAAGAGGAATAGGATAGTGTAGGGGACAAGGATTGAAGAGAGAAGGGAGGGGAGAGGATAAAGAAACCAAGCTGTATCACACACCTTGCTTTACTAGAAAATAAACCCCAGTGCTGTGGTTTCAAATGCAGTACGACTCTTAACAGTCAGAGGCACCTTGATGGATTTGTGGGAAAGGCCGTGTTCTTTCAACTCTAGTAAGTGATTCAAACCAGCAGGTAAAATTCTAAAAACCTAACATAGACTAAAAACCCAACCAAGCACATTGCAAATCAAAGAGATATTAACCAACTTCCTTTCTGAAGTAGGAGGATAATTGACATGAAATCAATTCTCCTAAATTTGAAATTCCAGATAATGTATTCTATTTTTATAAAGTAACAATGGGTTTCTAGGGCACCAAGAAAGAATATCTTATTCATGAGAAGTCTGAAGTCCAGAAAAGCAGTTAAATACTATAGGAAAGGCACGTATGAAAAGAAGAAATTCGAGAGCAGATAGAGTTCAGTTCAGAATATGATATGCAAGACTTGGTATCAAAAATTATGGACTCCTTAAACTCCGTCAGCCACATGAGTAGAAAGGAGAGAGTAGAAAAAAACAGAACTAATCTGATCCCTTTTAGTCATCCTTCACAAAACGCTGTCCAAGTACCGAAGGGCACAGTGACAAAGACAGGCAGCCACTGAATTCTTGTTAGTGCTTTTATAGAGATGTATTTTAAGTCTGAAGTGTTCAAAGAAGGTCTAATATTGCCCAAGAATTCTTAGTAAAATATAAAAAAAAATTATACATTTTTAAATGACTGCTGCATATGGGACACTCAGCTAAAGACCTAACCTTCAGGAAATCTCAGAACGACAGTCAAGACTCCAACAGAATCATTTCTCTAGCTACAGCCGAGCTTTCCACGTCAACAATCACCAGGCACATTGTCAAAGTTTTTTGGAGGCCACTGAATTTCAGCCAACAAACATTTAAAATTGTCGCAGAAATTAACAGCAACGGAAGAAAGAAGAAAAGATTTTTTTTTCCTCTGTCATTAAAGACATGAGACACTGCATATTCCTGTTTTCTGTTCCTCTTGGTGCCAGAACCACTAAGTGGAAAAAGGTGTATGAAAAAAAAAATCCTGCTTTTGGAAAGTGACACAAGTGTTTGCAGGTTTGCAGTAGTGCTGGCCATAGCAAGAAACATCAGTTATCAGCATTTTTTTAGCAGAATGTTCACGGAGGACGCTGATTCTCTTGACAAAATACAGCCCTCTTTGCCCCTTCCAGCAGAATCCACACGATGCCTTGCGTCTACTGAGAAAAATCTACAGTTTTACTTTTGTCAGTACTACGGCTTTTGTGTGCTATGAGCACAAGATTCCTGCACAGAAAGGCATTCAGATGGAACTCCATATTCAGGAAATGATTGGCCTGACCCATTTCTTCAATGTAAGAAAGTGAGGAAAAGGAAGGTTATTTTTCCTGAATTCTGTGACCCTGGCAGCAGCAAGAATAAGAAACATACTGGTCCTAGAGACATTTTGCTCTTTGCCCAGGGTCAATAAATCCCAGCAAGCTGAGCCTGAATATTTGCCACCTTAGTTGGATTTATGTCACCATTTATGGTAGCAAGTCTTCGCCGTGACTTTCCTGAAGACTACAAGGACAGGAATTTTAAGCCTTTAAACAATTTCTGTATGACAAATAAGGAAGGATCCTTGTCGTATGATTAGTGCTTAAAAGGGGAAAGGGAAACATGAAGGACTAAAGCGAAACATGGGACACAGCTAAGGGAGCTTGTAAGCAGCTTTAATGTCTCAGATCAGTTAACTCCCTCTCAGATTTGGTTTTGAAGAGCCAGGAAAAAATAACTGCAAAGTGCAGATGGGAAACCATTCCTAGGGACTTCTCTAACATTCCTTCTAGTGTGGAGACTCAGAACAGAACCACACTAAAAGCTATACAGCCGTGATGAAGAACAACTTTTTTTTTCCCCCCCAGTACAGACTCCTGCAGTTTTTGTTGACTCTACACATGCTACATGTCCCTAGATACAGCCTGTTCTGAGGTAATACAAGCATCTGAGGGTTTTGGAAAATGATCCTCAGAGAAAAAACAATACTTAAATCCCAGAAGAAAAATTAATGTAACTAGCAAACAGTAGATAAACAAATAATAGAAGTAAAGTGATTTGAGACGATAAAATTTGTTACAATAAGCTCTTACTCTACTCCAATCACAAACAATACTTGAGAATAAAATGCCAGAATTGCAGACTGTGTGTGTATTGGTGGCACTTGACTGAAATAAGGCCTCTGTACGGATCCTGTAACTATCAATGAAATCAAAGCTCCTCAAGTACTATATCAGTAAATACTTATGTGTATTAATAAAAAAACCCCTCAAAACGTGTATTAATGACCATATCTGTCACAAATTTATAAAAGAAGAGGCAACACTATCAAATAGGCAAAGTTACACCAGAAAGACTGAGCAACATAGAAACAAGGAAATAAAGCAACTTAGAAATTATATATAGGGAAAGTGTAGGGTCCTACATCTGGGCAGGAACAACTCCAGCTTCCAGTATAGGTTGGGGAATGACCTGTTGGAGATCAGTGTAGA